ATTAACAAACCAAAATGCAGTTTGAATAAAAAGAATTAAACAATTTGCCTTTTTATATAATATTTATTTTGGTTTTAATAAATCTTTTTTAACTGATAACAATTTAAGTCAAAGTGGTATCCTGTTATTTCATCCTTCACTTTATGTACTTTGCAAGCCGTAGATGCTAAACTATTAACTATATAATTTCTTTCCTGAAATATTCGCTTCTAAAAATAGTGTTGCCTTTATTCATCGCGGGATTAGGACGGTACAGCACATAATGTCTCTCCTCTGGTTAAAATGCCACATCTTCCTGTAAACCATCAAGAGGGGAAACGGAAAGTGTTTCCCTAGCTGTGTATTTGTTTGTAAAATTCTGTGAGTCCCGGGTATTAAATGTGACGTTATTTAAATTGTGACGCTATAGTTAACTCTTCCATGGACAATTACGCAATTTCAAAATCTGCCATAGATTTGGAGAAAACATAAAACTGCCCTAGATTTGTGATTTGTATGGTGTTTGTGACGTCATATTTGCCATAGATTTGAAATCTGCCATAGATCTTGAACCCACCATAGATTTGAGTCCTACATATATATATATATATATATATATAAATAAAAAACACTCATTTCAATGTACGAGATTTGAGAACAAAATATAGGAAGACATGTAAATACATATTGAGAGCACCATAACCAAAAAGGACATTAATAGAACAGTCATATGATGTAAGGTAAACAACTGTTGTAAACATTTGTTAAAGCTTATAAAAAAGATTTGTGGGGGGATTCTACAAGAATTGGGAACTGCTGTTTTTGAAGGATTTTTGTTTTGTATGAAGTCACTGATATCACAATATAATAGTTTATATTCAAATCAAAAGAATATAGAAACGAAAAAGGTCCTCACCAGCGTACGCGTCTAAGTAAGAAAATTCGACTGAACCAAAATATGACTTCACACATTAAAAAAGGTATACTGCTTCAAGTTGTAGTTTCCCTTTTATACATATCAACAACAAAATAAAAAAAAGGAAGATTGAAGGTCAGCCAGGAAACTACAACTCATAAGCCTTTATTTGAGTATCACATACTAGTATATATGTAGGACTCACATCCATGGCGGGTTCCAGATCTATGGCAGATTCCCAATCTATGGTAAATATGACGTCATGCCATTCCAAATCTATGGCAGATTTTTTTTTTTAAATGCAAATCTATGGGAAATTTTGTAGTGACCTAATCTATGGTGGATTTTCTAGTTTCCAAATCTATAGCATGATAATGCGGCACCCGTCGCAATGTCCAAAGGTAACGAAAAAGCCTTTAGTAATTATTAGTCAGTATTAGAAAAACGGATTAGGAGTACGACAACGGGAGCATATTCATAACCATCTCATTCTGTGAATTGGACCTTCCATAACGGTCAAACAAATTGTGATGGCGACCATAATATTTCCTACGTGAGGAAGTGATATACACTGAAACAAACTTTAGAAGTGAAATGATGTGCCCCGGGAAGATAAGCATTCCCTACTCTGTACACGGCACTTGTTTTACCCAGTCATTTAACCAACTAGTCAAAATGAAGTCCATTAACAAACCAAAATGCAGTTTGAATAAAAAGAATTAAACAATTTGCCTTTTTATATAATATTTATTTTGGTTTTAATAAATCTTTTTTAACTGATAACAATTTAAGTCAAAGTGGTATCCTGTTATTTCATCCTTCACTTTATGTACTTTGCAAGCCGTAGATGCTAAACTATTAACTATATAATTTCTTTCCTGAAATATTCGCTTCTAAAAATAGTGTTGCCTTTATTCATCGCGGGATTAGGACGGTACAGCACATAATGTCTCTCCTCTGGTTAAAATGCCACATCTTCCTGTAAACCATCAAGAGGGGAAACGGAAAGTGTTTCCCTAGCTGTGTATTTGTTTGTAAAATTCTGTGAGTCCCGGGTAATGTGACGTTATTTAAATTGTGACGCTATAGTTAACTCTTCCATGGACAATTACGCAATTTCAAAATCTGCCATAGATTTGGAGAAAACATAAAACTGCCCTAGATTTGTGATTTGTATGGTGTTTGTGACGTCATATTTGCCATAGATTTGAAATCTGCCATAGATCTTGAACCCACCATAGATTTGAGTCCTACATATATATATATATATATATATATAAATAAAAAACACTCATTTCAATGTACGAGATTTGAGAACAAAATATAGGAAGACATGTAAATACATATTGAGAGCACCATAACCAAAAAGGACATTAATAGAACAGTCATATGATGCAAGGTAAACAACTGTTGTAAACATTTGTTAAAGCTTATAAAAAAGATTTGTGGGGGGATTCTACAAGAATTGGGAACTGCTGTTTTTGAAGGATTTTTGTTTTGTATGAAGTCACTGATATCACAATATAATAGTTTATATTCAAATCAAAAGAATATAGAAACGAAAAAGGTCCTCACCCACGTACGCGTCTAAGTAAGATAATTCTACTGAACCAAAATATGACTTCAAACATTAAAAGGTATACTGCTTCAAAAAAACTGTGAGATAGATAATGATACCCTTCCGGAGCACTGAGATCACCCCCGGTTTTGATGGGATTCGAGTTGCTCGGTCCTTGGTTTTCTATGGTGTGTTTTTTTGGGGTCTTTGCCATGGCATTGTTAGTTTGTCTTCGAATTGTGAGTTTGAATATTCGTTTGATATCTTCTGCCTCTCTCTTATTATTGACTCACTACGTCGTAGTTTCTTTGCGGTCTTTGTCAAAAGTTGTCCGAGCAATGTTACTTACTATGGAGAATGGAATGTTACTTACTATGGAAAATGGAATCTACGACTGAGAATAACGAAACGAGCATTTAAGAATTATGTTATAGAATTTTCATATTTTTTTTAAATTTTTGCGGTGTTTCGTATGACACCATAGCTTTTGTTGGAAACCTCGGCAAATTAGTAGGAAAATTAGACAAGCGACAGATCAGAAAATGTGCAAGCAGGGTGAACCCTCAAATCCAATCACCATGACAAAAATATTTGACCTAAAATTCATATTTACAGAATACAAAACTTCTTTTGACTGCTTGAGTAACTAAATTGAAATCAATGGCAGAATGACATAGCGTAATTTTTTATCTACGTCTACTTACTTTAACACAGGTGTGTGAAATGAGATCAATGTCATATGCCAGACAGGCATGCTTTAGCAACCAATCCACCCAAATATATTGTGGAACTTTCGGCTTTTATAATAGTTACTATGACACACACCTGTTTCTGAAGACACTTCTTCGGCTTGAAAATAGTTGCATATACCCAGTACTAGTTATTTTTGTGTTGCTGATTACTTTTACATTTTACACTTTAAACCTAGCTCCTACAGATTTGAATTGATTGATTGATTGATTGAATGATTAATTGATATTGATATTTGGTGTTTAATACCATTTTCAGTACTATCGGCTATTTCGTACGGCCAGTTTTTATTGGTGGAGGAAAAGTAGTGCCCTGAGAGAACCACCACCTCCTGCAGGATAACGGTCATTATCAACAAAGATTGGAGTCAAACGCACCTGCCATGTAAGGGTTCATACTCACCTCAATGTTGACTGGCTAGTGTTACAGTATCAGATGAACTACTTCAACTACTCGGCCACTTACAGTTTTTTGAGATAACAGACAAAAACTGCAAAACATCCCAGTAAAAATCGATATTTCAGTGGCAGTAACTCCAGAACCAGTTTTAAATTCATTTCGAAATTTTCAGAGTAACTAGATATCTTCTTGCTTTGCTGTTCAGTTTTATAATTTAAACTTTTATTCTAGCTCCTGTCATATTCCAAAAGCCAAAAAATGAAAAAAATCAGTTATTTCAGGGGAAATTACTTCAAAAAATGGTTGTTGGATCAGGGCAGATACATATTGTTGTGATGATCATTTTTGAAATTTATCCTTTTTTGCCTACTAGCTCCTAGTTTTAACGATAACAGTCAAAACTGTAGAAATTGGTATGAACTTATATTTCATAGCCAATAACTCCATATAGTGTTGTTTTTTTCCGAAATTTTCGAGTAGGTAGAACTTGCCTTGTTGAATATTTTTGCTATTTACAATATTAAGCTAGCTTCTATAATTTTTGAAGCAATAACCAAGAAGTGACAAAAAATTTTTTAAAATCATCATGTCATTACGGACAATAGTTGCTATTCTTTAGATGAACTGTCTTCCAAAATCTATATCTATACCTGGAACGAAGCTCCTTTTCTGGCATGTTTTTGACTTTTTGTCAGATACATGTATTCGGAATCCTCTAGTTTTATCCATGTAATGCCAATAAAAATGTTGCTCGCTAACCTCTACTTTACTTTCATAATTCAATTGCATATAGTTTAAAAAGCCATATTTGAAAATTTTATAAAATCCTTATTGTTATTTTTTCATAGTTTTTGAAAGAAAAAGGTGCCTATGTTAAATGAATGAAAACTCAAGAGAGAATCATTTCCCGCCAACTTTTTAATTGATTGTATCTTAAAAACAAGGACACATCCCTGTCATTTTTTTTCTACTTTTTAAGTTCCATTATTTATATACTATCAATTTATAATTGTCTTTTTTTTTAAATCTTGTTATTTTGAAAAAGAGGAGTGAAATTCCTTAACAAATCTTTGTGCAACATAACAGTCAATTAATTTAAAATGATGTTTAGCATATATTTAAATGACTTATGTGCAAACCAGCTTGAAGTTATTTTGAATTCTTTAATCATTGCTACACCATTGGAAAAGTAATACTTATATCTCTCTGACCATAAATAACTTTAGTGGAAGGCAACAGAAACATGTAATACCTTTACTTGATACCTTCAGACTGTTGCTCAAGTATAACTTCAAGGACTGCTGGGCCTTACCCACAAATTTCTAGCAAAGTAGAACTTTCTGAACTTATTAACTAATACCAACAGAAACTACAGTGACAAAAAACAACATGTTTCGATAATAAAGAAATTAAACCTGCTGTTTATTTATCCCTCAATTTATTTGGATTTCATTAAATATTTGATCACAATTACATTTTAAAATTATTCTAAATAGATGAAAGAATGAATAATTTCAACTACCTATCATTTTCTATGTAATTTTAAAATAAGAATTAAGCTCCTGATAATATGCACTAATAAGATTTCCAGAATAAAACCATGATAAAGGATTAGAATAGAGATTGGAAACAGGGAATGTGTCAAAGAGACAACAGATTATGAGAAAATACTGGTTGAACATAAAGTTAGACTATGTAGCTGTAAACTTCTAAGCATTGGTAATTAAGAGCAGAAAATAGCTCAAGGCCACCAATCCTGCACCCAGATGGTTTTGAAAGAAAAAGGTGCCCATGTTAAATGAATGAAAAATCTAGAGAGAATCATTTCCTGCCAACACCCTGAGATGGCTTCAATTGGCTCCTAAACAATAATGTATACTAGTTCAACCAAATAGACAGCACACTAAACTCTGAAACATACAAATGAACCAAAATTAAAAATTACAAACGAGACTAACAAAGGCTAGAGGTTCCTGAGTCCTGAGTCTTTGGGTGTTTTTTTAAAATTTTGGTTCATTTGTATGTTTAAGAGTTTAATGAGGCATCTATTTACCTGAAATAGTAAACATCATTGTTTAGGCCTTTTGAAGCCTACCTTCGGTTGCGGGATTTTCTCACTGCTTTGAAGACCCATTGTTGTCTCTTTGACACGTCCCGTTTCCATTCTCTATACTATCAAAAATAAATCATTTATTTGTTAAAATTCTTCTGTGATTTAGCTGTACTTGCAAATACTTCTATTTGCTACTTTAATACCTACAATTTTATAAGGTACTAAATTTATTACATTTTTGAAAACCAATTTGTAGATACATGTTCTAAGTAAATACCAGTACCTACATTTATGCATTTCTAGCATAATTACTGTCTTTATTAGTTTTTGTTTTATACATACTGGAACTTATTGCGATTTTTTATCAATTCACTTTAAAAAGTTAAGACCACGATTGAAAAAAATCATGATTCAGGGATTTATAATATAGATGAATTAAAATGATCTAAAATAGAAATGCATCAAAGAAAACAAAAAGAAATAAATTAAATTGAATAAAGCTAAAGTAAAGTTGTGTATGTGTGAGTCTCCATAACAGCAAATTGAAATTCACTTTGCGACCTATATTAGAAACTTGCTTTACAGAGGTGTCTGATGAAGTAAATTTAACTGTATGAATCAGCATTGGTTCTAATAAAAAAAAATTGCAATCACAATATCTTATAATATTCATTCCAACCAAAAAGTAATTCTGCATAGATAAAATTCTTAGAATTTTTAATATAAAGTAAGTTGACCACTTTTAAACAAAAATATAACCAGATCTTTTATGTTTTGAGCATTAATGTATGAAAAAGTTCTTAATAATTTAAACAGATTCACACACAATACTTACTAAGTTATTAACCTGTTAATCAAGCCAAAAATACACTCAGTGTATAATATAAATCTATGAGATTTCATTTTGTTCTCGTTTTTATTATAAAAACAGACATTGTGAAAAAGAAATGAGTAGACATTTACAGACCTAAAGTATGGGCAGATCTTTCAATAAAAATATCAACTAAATGAAATCAATATAACAGTAAGCTAAACATAAAAAACTAATTACAATTAAAAAAATTTAAATACAGCTTTCAACAGATTATGAGAAAATACAGGTTTAATAGAAAGTTAGACTATGTAGCTGTAAACTTCTAAGAGGGTCGTAATGGGGGTACCTTCATGACGAATAACGGTAAAAAATCTTGCCAAATGACGTTAACGGTAATTTTTGGTGCATGACAATAAAATGTACACTTTCTTTAAGACGATAAAAAAAATTTTAAACATTTTTACCCTTTGGGACAGTTGAGCTAAAAATTAAATGATTAGTTTTCTTTGAACACTTTTACATTTCAGTATAATGTCACAAATAGTTCATGTCACTTCATGTAAAATGGCAGTTTATTGGCCTTTTCAATAATCTTCCAATAGCCATATACGTTAGCTTTGCTTTGCTTTGCTTCAGTTTTCATTTGATAAAAACATAAACCCATCAACTTTCTGTTAGAACAAAAATCACCTTTTCCTGAGATTAATACTTTTATATATATATGTATATATGCAAAATAAAGCAATGAAATTTAAACTTTTCCAAAACAACTTAGTATCCAAATACATGTTTTATATATAATAAATCTGTATCAGTAAATGTCTATCAAAGAAGGTAAAAAAGGAATGCATTCATACATATACATGTTATTCAATACAGACATACATGTACAAAATACTGAACTTATAATACGTCACAAAGGAAAGTGATCATGAAATGAAAACTGGTGAACAAAATAGGAAAATGCATTTATAATTAGATACTAGGTCAACATGTACAATGTTTCCCTCTGAAAATGTTCAAAACTGACATTTTAAGCTGCCATAAACTTGGTCAAAACTCTCATACATCATAAACATTGAGTTTTATTCTAAACATATTGTAATACAAAAAATTTAGTTATTGATTACAAGAAAATTTTCTCATAATACATAGCATTTATAATATTCTAGTCACGTAAATTTCCTCACCTATAGGAATCAAAATCAAAACATATATTTTCCAACATTTCAGGGAATAACAAACCCAATACATTTAAAAAATAGTTTAAAATATGCAACTTAAAGTTACTGTGTCTAGCCTCCAAAAAGTTACAGCAGAAAAATCATGTTTTAATTATTTGCACCAAGTTCCATGTATTGTCCTGTTTCAAAAGATCTTGTTTTTCCTTCATACAAAGTCAATTTATGCATATGAGATAAAAAAAAAATTAATAAAGGTTTTCTCTCTCATCATTTACCTTTGGAAAAACCTTTCTAACTTTAATGAGAAGAACAATAGAACATTTGATTTTTGTTTTCATTGAAACTATAGGTGAAACGTTTTAACCTATAAGAATTGGCACAACTATTACTTTTCTTTTAAAAAGTAATTATACATCAGGAAGATTGATCATTTTCACTGTTTATTACTTTATAAGAAGATACTTTCTTTGACTTTATGGTAATTATTTTTGATTGTCAATAGATGATCATAATGATTGATTGATTGGTGTTTAACGCCACTTTCAGCACTATTGGCTTTTCGTGGCAGTCAGTTTTTATTGGTGGAGGAATCAAAAGTGCCTGTAGAGAAGCACCAGACTTTGACAGGAAAACTGACAATCCCAGACAATTAAGATAGATTGGAGTCAAACACACCTGCCACATGCAGGGTTCAAATTCACACCCTCAGTGTTGACAAACTAGTGATACAGTAGTTGAACTACTTAGACCACTCAGCCACTGTTGTCATAATGACAAGTTTGGTCAGTCAGTTGATAATACGTTCAGACAACAATTCTAATAATATATATGGGTACCAAAATACCAAAACCACATTTTTATCAACTTTTTCCAAATAACCCATCAGTGTCAGTTAAAAATACAATTCACAGCTACACTACAATTTTCCCTAATGCATAATGCATAATTCATATTCTATCTTCATACATCCCATATCAAAACAACTATTTTTTTTTCTAAATTACTCCTTTACAACATATTGCCCACAATTTAATACCTTTACTTCTTTCACAAAAAATGGCATAATAAGAAGCCTTGCCTGTTAAAATCTAAATGTTATATGGTGAAAAAAAACTGTTTTGCTACAAGATCACATTGTAAGCAACTTCCAAAACAAATGTAAAGGTGTATAATTGTTTACCTTAACAAAGTCATTTCTGAATCATCCCCATTTCACAAATTATTCTACACTTTCACAATTTCCCCACAAAAATTGGTTTCTTGACAATATTTATATCAAGAACTATATATCATTAATAAGATAAAATCATCTTAATACTATAAACATAACATCCCACAAAACTTAAAAGAGGATAGATATGGTCTACCAAAATCACATTCTTATCAAAATTTCAAAAAAATAAAATCATTTGTTTCTTTGATTTACAATAAATGTAATATATATATACAGTATAGTTTAGTATATACTCGTAATATCAAATTTCCATCTTTAGAGAAAGCATGAAATCTGGGTCAAAAACCAAATTTTGCAAAATTTTAAAAAGTCCACACCATGATAAACATCTATAATGATTACAAAGTTGATGTAACCATAACTTCATGGTAAACTACTTCATCTAAAACCTTATACCTGATTTACATTACGATAACATTCAGTGAACTGTGACCTCTGGATGAAAACCCTAATTTGTCATATACAATTATTCATATATTATAGCCATTAAACTAATATAAAGTCCTTATTTATAATTATTACAATATCTTATATTGCTTTGAGTACAAGTAATAAAAAATGTATATTCTAGACCATATATATCCCTTTAACAAATCTAACAAACACTGAAGTTTAAAATAAAAAATTTACCACATGAATGTACACTGATTATTAACAATTAATACCAGAAAAATCACCGGTGCAGATACTTTGCTGCTTAGTAATACCTTAAAGGCTAATTCACTTGCAAGTGAAATATTTAAAGAACACATTTTTTTCAGCACCATGATTTAAAGTTTAATTTTTTGGCAGATATTTGTCTTCAGCTTTGACTAATTCGTCATCTCTTTGTAACCTGAATATTTCTTTCACACTAACAATCTAAAATTAGAAAATATTTCTTTAATGTACTGTCATATTAACTACACAGAATTCTACTGTTATGATTGAAATTCAAGATTCAGCAACTTTTAAACAAAAATTTAAGGTTGCCAAACAGCTAATAATATTTTATCTTGAATTATCATTATAAATTTAATGAAATGTGGTTTAATTCCCAATGAGACAACTTTACATAATGATCAAAGGACAAGAGACTCACCTGGTTAAAAAAACAAGTCTGCTAATGAGAACCTTTAATCACACATGCAGTCGAACCTCTTTATGTCGAAGTTGAAGGGACTGGTCAAAACTATTCAACTTATCTGAGGTTCGACTCATCCGAGGTCGAGTGTGACGTCATAAATTTTGGATGCACGTAATACTGCATAAGCTTTGTGCGTGTAAACTAGATATTCTAAACGGTGTGTCTTTTTTTCGATATGACACTTTATGATTGTGTTTTCAATCTCCATAATTGTTGGTCCCTTGTTATAATTAAACACAAGTACACTAGAGATACAAAACATTCACAAATAAAATCAATACACACACACAAATATTTACAAAGGTCAGTCACTATAAATTATGAAATCACTCACGGATCGAAACAAGTTCTGAAAAATCTCTGACGAGGGTCGTCTGCTTTGCATTCAATCATTTTAAATTAATGTGTCATACTAATAATTGATTGTCTTTATCCTTTTATTTATTGTAATTAAAACAAATTAATTCTAACGATTCATTTAATCTCAGCTTGGGTCATCTAAATACATTTCGTTTTTATGTCATGTGTGTATATGTTCAACACAATAAAGTTCCGCTTGGACGATCAACAAAGGTGTTAATTACCGGTCACCATAAACATGTCGTATTAACTGCTATACAAACAAGTATGTTTACACAGCTGTGATTTTTTTAGGAAATGATTAGGTTACATAAGAAATACATCTGATTTGAAATTTATCATTTAGTCTGCATCCTTCGAACTTCGAGACATCGGGGTCAATTTACATTAATTTTACATCGACGGGACTATAAAATTTACTTGACTTAACCAAGTATTTGAATCAACTGAGTTCGACTCATCAGAAGTAAAAAAGCATTGATCAAACGGGAATTTTACGGGGACCGAGAAATTACTTCAACTCATCTCAGTTTTCGATACAACGAGGTTCGACTGTACTAGTTATTCTTTGTGTTGCTGATCATTTTTGCAATTTATATTTTTAACCTATATATATATAGCTACACAACTAATGGTATACACCAAATATTTAATCAATTTAGTTCCCTTCGGCTTAGCTGGGACTTTAAGAGACAAGTAGCAATGAGACAGCAACCTGACACCACAAAACATAGAGGTCAAGACACAGTCTTAAATGATATACATGTGTCTATATAAAATGACAAGCTCTATTCTGTCTGTAGTTTAAACAAGTTGTCATGGTTGTGGATATGTCTAAAATCTTTAGATGAAGAAAGCATTTATGACATGAAAAGTCATTTGTGCTCAACCTACCTCAGCTCAGTCTCAAGAAAGCATTCTGACCTCAAGTGTGAAAAGTTGTAGTGAGGGTTTAACTCAGGAACAAAGCCTTTAAATCAGTATTAACTTCTTGTTTACTAAGCAGCAGCCTTATAAAATATGCACAAAGACATCAAATTGAGTCATTGAAATTTGAATATGTACTTTGGGTAACATTTCTTAGTACTGTGGATTTTTAGCTTGTGAACTAACAAGATAAAAAGTTTAATATGGTGGGTCTGTCTAGAAGTTCATATCTTATATGATATTAACATGGTTGAAAGACTGCCCATTCTCTGTAAGTATATGAAAATTCATCTTTTATGCTGCAAACAAAATGGATGCTAAGCAAACAATAATCAATAAATCCAGCTACAAACCAACAATGTATTTCAGCAAAATCTCACAATGAACAATAATTACCTTATCTTCTACATTAACTAATGATTGGTCATCAAAGATCTGTTTGGTTGTTTGTTGCATAGCCCTGACAGAAGTTCTAAGGTTATGATTGGCCCATATCACCATAGAAACACCCATATCACGAAAATGGTCTGTTGGTGTTTTGTAGTATTTTGTTGGTACAATCACTACAGGTCCCTGAAACACAAGAATAGTTTGATAGTAAAGCAATAAACTGAAAAATTATTGATCTGTAAGTATTATAGTCCATGGTAACAAACAACCGGTCAGGTGTTCTGCTTCCAATTCCTTTTGTCACAGGTGTTATAATAAAAACTGGCCACTATGATTCAACCAAAGTCATTGAAAGTGGTGTTAGTACCAACAAAACAAACAAACAAACCAAATGAAATATAATCACAACCAAGGATCAAGAAATTTTTCACACAATTTGGTCATTTTGATATGAATGATATGCAACGGTTTAAAATTGAAATGATTTAAATGACTCAAAGCTTTAAATTTCTCAGGAATCAGTCCCCCTTCTTTTGATTTTGAGAGATGAAATAAAAACCAGAAGTTTAAAGATAATCATAAATTAAGGTTGCACTTTGTAAATACAGCTGTTTCTCAAACCACGCCTCTTTTGGGGAGATATATAATATTCATAGATAACTTGACTTGTTTACGTACTGGTTCCCGGATATGATCTCTATGTTTCATCTCATAGAGACATAACTTGGGACTGTTACCAGTATAAAAACCTATTGTTTTGGTGAAAATTGAATTCTGAAGTAGGTAAAAAGTGGAGGTAGGGATAGTACAGAATTTTAGTATAAGTTTAAACTCTAACAAGTTCAGGGCATATAAATGTTGAAAATATGCCGCACAGCCCTAGGTTTTGACCTTTGAATAAAATAGCAGTGCATATCAGCTTTCCATTCTAGGATATAATTTTTTACGAAACTTCATAGTAAAAGTGGCACAGTTTTAGCCGCAAAGGGAGTTCCTATGGGAAATTGCATTGTCTATATTTACAGAAATGCAACCTTAAGGGTGATTCCAAATACAGTTCTTTCTGGTTTTTTTAAAATGGCAGGAAACCATTATATTTTAAAAATTTAGTAATTGTATTTGCTGAAAAGTTATTAGATAATGAAGTAACTTGCCATAGAATAGAATTTCTTTTTATTAGTTCTGAGCTTGATCACTACTGTAAGGTATGAGAACACGGTTAAAAAGTAATTAGTTTCCAGTGGTCAGTATCTCTTGGAGGCATTAATAAGGTAATTAGTAGGCCAAACTATACCTGAGTGGCAATTTTATTACCAGAAAAGCATTGCAAAACAAAATTAGTGAAAACTGGTGATAAAAACACCAATCTCAATGAAATGACCAAAATTATTTCTGTAAAAAAAATACAGTTCTTGACCTATATCCCAATCTACCATTTCAGTCAAGCAGGTTTCAGTTTAAGGTCATGTCCAACAAATTTGACAGTTTCCAGATCCATCATAAAAACTACTAATAAGGTTCCAGAAGTTAAATTTGAAGTCTCATATGATTCTTCTCTTTTTCTTTGTTCCAAAAATGATTTTATTATTTACAGATGGATAAAAGGAGCTGTTGGGTATTGTAAAATAAAGACAGCACCTAATGACACAAATAATCAAGATATACCTTTCTAGAGTATTCTGAAAGGTAGAAATAACTACCAGCTTTAACAAAAAATTTTATTTTATTTTTGGGTATCAGGTTAAGATAATATCCAAGTATCCTCTCTATAAAAATTTATTAATTTATTAAGCCCTCTGAAATCAATAACATATGTTCATAAAACAGAAAATCTTATAGATCGAAATACAAACCTGATTGTTCCAAGCCTTCATAAAAGCCTCTATGTCAGATGGATCACCCTTTTTACTGTGCATTAAAATGGCATCTGCACCTATAAATAAAGATCAAATTGAAGAACATAAATTTACAATAAGCACATCAATGTATGCACATAAGGTAAACAGAATTCTTTTTTTTCTATTGCACTAGTACTGCTAATGCATGATATGAGGATATTCATAAAAATAAGATCATTTCTAAAATCACTAAAAGTTGAAGTAAAATAGGAACAAAAAACTGAACTGTGAGCTAATGCTGTATTTGGTAGACAGGAAGCTGATGAGCAATGGCTGTGAAAAGCATTACAAAATATAACATGCTTGCATGAAGCCAAATACCAAATTTAAGGGTACTCCAATTTGTAGTTCCTGAGAAAAATGTGACAGAAATTTTCATACATTGCCTAAAAGTGTAAGAATATACATGTGTATCAGTATTCTGTGAACAGGAGGACGATGAGCGATGAATGAGAAAATGTATCATACTGTTTAATATGCTCACAGGAAGTTGATGAGTAATGAATGTTCAAATGCATCACACTGTATAATATGATCCCTTGAAGCTTTACATCAACTTTCAAAAGTTCATACATGGCTTTTATGTGTGAGAGTTTTTAAAAATGGAAAATAAAAAAAAAATGTGTCTAAGGACACAATGCCCCTACACAGCTTTGCAATTTTAAAGTCATAAAGGGGCATAACTCTAGAACGATAAGTGACTCACTGCCCAAATTCGAACAACTCTGCAAGTTATGGGTCTTAGCATTGTGTATGAGTTTCATAAAATTTGGATGAGGAAAACTTAAGTTAAAGTGCAGAAATGTAAAAAATTGCAATTTCCTAGTTATAAAGGTGCATAACTTTAGAACGGTAAGTAACTCACTGCCCTAATTTGAACTCTATCTGCATGTTTTGGTTGATTTTAAAATAAAATTTTGATGAGGAAAACTTAAGTTAGAGTGCAATAAAGAAAATGGGACAGACGGAAGGACGGAAGGAAAGACAGACGGTCAAGGTTAACACTTAATGCCCTCGTTGACTACGGCGGGAGCATAATAAGTTTTTGGTCATGAAGTTGTTAAGCAATAGATCAGAAATGCATCACTTTGTAGACAGTATTCACATGAAGCTTGCTTCCAAATTTCAGGAAGCTATGATTTGTTTTTCCTGAGATAATTGCTATAAAAACTTCATGGGATGGACAGATCTAGATGTATACTAGTATACTCCACTCCTTTGGACAAGACTTTCATAATAAGGCGGGTGTTAAACAGTATACCCTCCCACCTTTGGAGCAGGGATATAACATTTTTTTGTTCAAAACAACAAGATGAAAATAGCTGATTTGTCAAAATTGAAGCTGGTTAAAGTAAAGTATCAATATTCTATGTGCTCAGTATACACAATGTACTAAGGCTTGATTGAAGTTTAACATATATGTTTAAAGACACGTTGTTTTTGTAATATTAAATATAACAGCTGTGATTTGTTTACCTGCATTTCTGTATGCCTCTGCCCTTTTCAGAGCTTCATCCAAACCCCAGCCTGCTATAAAGGCTTCCACTCTAGCTACAATACAAAAATCAGGATCTGTCTGTGTGTCTTTACAAGCCTGAAATTAAGTGTGGTACTAAATATTGTGGAAGTGACTAAACAAAATATTCTTGTGTTTTTAAATGGCATGCCACTACTAGTAAATGTAGTATAGAAACTGCCACTAAAAATATAAAAGTACTGTTTGTTCATGCTAAAAAGACACTTCAAGTAATCTTTGATGATTTCCTTTATATATGTAACTTATCAGTTACTTACTCAGTATAATTTAAATATTTTAAAACCTTTTTTTTATGGAAAGAGACACACAATTGGTGAATCCTATATCTAAAATCAGCATAAGCTGAAAGTTTTGGTTTGCTTTAGATAATGAAAGCATACAATTGAAGAAGAAATCTTGCTTTTGAGTATTGTATGCTGTTTGCTTCCTGTCTTCACCTCCGAAAAATGGGACAATTTGAAAACAGAAAATTTGCTGCATCCACATTGATTTCCATTTTGTGATATGATGAGAAACATTAACAGGAATAAACTTATACTATTTTTATATCCTTCACATGAAAACTAGCTGATTTCTGTTAAATTATTGAAAATTATGTTATAACATCTTATTCTACATCAAATTTGTTTTATACAAAGTAACAGAAGAGAACTTGTTCACAATCTTTTTGCAGTGAAAATTATTTCGATCAGAATAGGATACAACACAGGTTTTAATTTAACTAATGACAACACTTCTAAAATGAAACCGTATGAAAATATTAATTTTTATTACCTTGATTTTCAAAGCAAATTCTTCAATATCAGCCAATGGTTGTGCTCTTCCATCATGTAGAGAGTTTGTTTTAGGGAACAATTTGTCTTCTAAACAGGCACCTTCAACAAATTTTCAAAAATAAATTATTTCAAGCTTATGGAGACAGCACATACATTTTCATCTTTTTAGGTTTTTAAAATATAAGCTTAATAGAATGCCACTAATATCTGAATGCAATCAAAATCAGATTTTTAGCATTTGAAATCTACATTTAAAAACACTAAAAAGATATCGGGCAATACATTTATATATCATGTACATTGTCTTCTATTTGCCAAATCAACAAATTTTTCCAGCATGGCCAATTTGTACAAATCAATCCCAGCCTAATTTAATCTTTTCTATGAAAGTAGACATGTTTTATGTTTCTTAAATTCATTTAAAGAATAAACCAAATTATCAAGTTATTTCAACCAAGAATAAGTGTTATTCTTTGGTCCTGAACTGGCATTTTTAATTGTGTTTCTGAAGTTCACAACAATATACCTGCTACTCCTCTGTCTTCAAGTTTCCTGACTAGTCGTCTGGCGTTATTGAAATTCCCATATCCAGTATCAGCATCCAGCAGGATGGGTACATCTGAAGCATCACTCATAAACTCTAACACTTCTACAACTTGTGTCCACGATGCTTCGTTACTATCTCTCACTCCTAGCTGAGCAGATACTGACAATCCACTTCCCCAAATACCCTTAAATCCTATAAAGTACAATTTAGTGAAATATCCACAGAAATAATGTTTAATACACAAAAGACAACTGAACAACAGTAACTATGGTAAATCTGATGAAGTGTTTAAAAGTTCTTGTCCTTCAATTTTATTGCAATAGACACAAGACCAATCAATTTAATGTTAAATATGTACAGTAAATACAAATCTTGAACAAACAACAATTGAGCCAGGGAATTTAATGTGATTCCTGTTAATGCATCAGGGTGCAGATTTTCTCGCTGTGTTGAAGACCCATTGGTGGCCTTGGGCTGTTTCTGCTCTTTGGTCGGGTTGTTGTCTCTTTGACGCATTCCCTGTTTCCATTTTTAATTTTATATACTAGCAAATATGTCTAAATTTAATTTACACTTTTTGTCTAGTGTCATGTAGGTACTGTGGATTTATTGTTATATATGTGGGATACCAGTTTTCTGTGGTTTCATGGGTACACCTGAACCACAAATTTAAATGTTCAATGAACAATTTTTTTTTATATAAGCTTGTATGCAAAATTTGGCAAAAAACGAAATCAGATATACATGAAAATACTTTTTTTTCTTCAATCCACGAAAATTAGTACCTACGAAAATAAATGAATCAACAATATGCAATCGCTCTAAATCAAAGCCTTGAAAGTATATCTAAACAAGAGGTTCATGAGAGCCTGATATCGCTTATGTAATTTCAGTTTCAGGCATTTGACTTATTTGTAGATCTTAATTTGCTGCACAATTTTGTCATTTACACTTTCTCTCTTTCTATAATTATATTATAGATAATACATAACCCAAAACTAAAATTTCCTAAAAATTAACTATTTCTGGACAGTAACCCAACAATAAGTTGTCCTATTGGTCTGAAGATTATTTGAAAGGTAGATCTAAACCTGTTTAACACTTTCACCTATGTCAGTTTTGCTCTTACTGCTTTAGTTTTTGAGATGAAAGCCAAAAACTTCATTTGACCTCTATGTTCTATTTTTAGAAACTACCGCCATATTTTTGAATGAATCAAATCCCCGAATACAAACAACAAGATACCCTAAGGAACATTCCATTAAAGTTTTTAAGTATTTGGCCAAGTAGTTTCCGAGAGGAAGATTTTTGAAAAAGTAATAAGACTTTCACAAAAAATGTAAAAAAAAAAAAAGTTTTAAGGGCAATAACTCTTCAAGGGGTCAATTGACTATACTGATCATGTTGATTTATTTGTTGATTTTTACTGAATATTTATTGCCATTTATACTTTCTCTCTATCTATTATAATATTAAAGAAAATAACCAAAAACAGTAAAATTTAATAAAAATTAATTATTTTGGACAGTAACCCTACAATGGGTGGTCCAATTTGTCTGAAAATTTCATAGCAGATAGATCTTGACTTATTCATCACTTTAACTCCATGTCATTTTTGCTCTAACTGCTATAGCTTTTGAGATAAAAGCCAAAAACTGCATTTGACCCCCATGTTCTATTTTTAGCCATGGCGGCCATGTTTGTTAATGGATCAAAACTTCGGATACAATTTATAAACCAGTTACCCTAAGGAACATTCATTTAAAGTTTAAAAGTATTAGGCCCAGCAGTTTCAGAGGAGAAGATTTTTAAATGTTAACAAACATGTTAAAACAAATAGTGTAAAATTGTCTTAAAGGGCAATAACTCCTTAAGGGGTCTCAATTGACAATTTTGGTCATATATAATTTTTTGTAGATCTTACTTTGCTGAACATTTTTGCTGTTTACAGTTTATCATTATCTTGAATATTTTTGCTCTAACTGCTATAGTTTTTGAGATAAAAGCCAAAAACTGCATTTGACCCCTATGTTCTATTTTTAGCCATGGCGGCCAAGTTTGTTAATAAATCAAAACTTCAATACAATTTATAAATCAGTTACCCTAAGGAACATTCAGTTAAAATTTGAAGGTATTTGGCCCAGCAGTTTCAGAGAAAAAGATTCTTGAAATAGTTTACGACAACCATGAAAACAACAGACGACGACGGATGCCAAGTGATGGCATAAGCTCACATGGGGCCCTTTGGGCCCAGTGAGCTAAAAACTTTTGCTGAACAAAGAGTGTTGTATATATGTACATCAAGAACACCATATTTGATATAGTTATTCAAATTTGGCCTTTTTAACATTTTTTGATTTAAGCGTCACTGATGAGTCTTTTGTAGACAAAACGCCTGTCTGGTGCAAATATAAGATTTCAAACCTGGTATCTATGATGAGTTTATTTAAAAATCTACATCATGCAAATACTTATGCAGTGTGGGTAATGCTTATTGTAGAATACCCTACAGGGACCTATAGCTGCTAACATCTATGTCCTTTGGTCATTTATAGATAGTTTTCTCATTGGCAATTATACAACATCTTCTTTTTCTATATACACAGAAAATTAATTTTTAAAAATCTATATATACTGTATCACATATTTCACTAGTAAATGAATTTTAATCTTAAATGGTCATCTGAAAAGTCTAAACAATGTTTTTTAGTATTATTTTTTTCGTTTTAAGCAGCAAAATATTTTAGATGAATCAATAGCACTTTAGTTACCTGCTTCCTGAACTATTCTGGCACTCAGACCATTATGAGCCTCCATTATAAATTCTAAATCTTTGGAATTCAGCATCTGTTTCAACTGAGTAGTTTTCTGGAAAAAATATTTCAACTTACAACTTTTGATTTTATCCATCTGCATAACCTGAACCCCATAGCCACAAACATGACAAAGTTATGCATTCTATTGAAAAAGGTAAATAGTTCAAAGTAATTTCCACAACCTAGCCTAACCCAGAAAGTCTGGGACACACTCTCCATATTATTCAATTTAAATGTAGTAGTCATTTGCAAGCATATGAGATGCAAATGGCATAGGGTCATTTAGAAACACATAAAAAAACACAGCTTTGCCAAATTGGGCTGAGTTTCCTATATACAGCAATTTCTGGAGCATGCAACAAGAAATTAAAAACCTTATCTGTAACCATTTGAGTATTTCAAGAACCTCATACAGATACTACTTTGTACCTAAAATTTAGATACATGTAGTCTTGAAGATATATATAGCAGTTGTTCAAACACATTTTGCAAATGTTCATGATGACTTCATATATTTGCAGAATTACAGTATGAACAAAATTTTCAGCAAAATATCTGCTTGTCAGTCTGAGATTGCATTTGACCAGAATATTGTCAATCGCAATCACACATTTTTTCCTGACAATCAAGTCCTATAACCCTTGTTATGATAATAGTGAAATCAACTAAAATTGAATTCAACCTGTATTTCTTTGTTCATAGAATATTTGAATATTTTAAACTTTGAAAATTTTAAAATTCTAATTTCTATAATTAAAACATATGTTGCTATACTTTTTTTACTCAATGTATATATATATTTCCTAAAACTTGTATAATGAAGACTGATATGAAAGTTTTAATTGATAAATCCATACAACTTAATGTTATCCATCTCATAAAATTTTGTATAGAAATGTCTGTGTTGACATGGTGAGATGAAGTACTTATTCATCAGTCACTTAGTCTAATATGTCCACAGCATTATTTATTGATTCTATGTTATCAGCTTAAGATCAAATTTTATACATGTGTCCAAAATCAATGATTACACTGTTGGTGTAGAATTCATTTATCTGATCATCATGATCACTATAAATTAATAATGATGTAAATTTTAAACAATCTCCATTTAGTGTAACATGTTTAATAAGTTTAGTTTGGAAACATGTAGAACATGTAAAAGTAAAACTATAAAATTTTCAGATTTATATTTCAAATCAAAGTGGGATGATAAATAAAGGATAAAAAGAGTACATGCATATAGCCCATCTGTCAATCATCCAGTTTAGAATTACTGTGAGTGACTTCAAATTTATCAAGCTTGTTTGGTTTCAATTGAATTACTGTTTCAAAGGAGAAGCTTTTGTTTTAATTTAGAAGCTGTAATAATCAAATGTAACAAAATATAAAATGGAGTGTCAGGTTTTGAGGGGGTGGCAATCATATGATTAAGATAGCTGAAAAAAACCATTTATTTTTACTGCATTTAACCCTTCTGGAAGCTAATGAAAACAAATCTTTCCTTATTTACAAATACTCTAGGGAGCCTTTTTTCAATCATTCTCCTAATATTTCTTTATTATCCCCTTAATGGTAGTTAAGGAAACTGGTGATACAGGAAACATGCGAAGTGATAATAATGTAAGTCCTGAACTTTGATAAAAATCCTGTCACTGTTACCCCTCTACAGATTTATATCAATAGTGTCTATCATACTATGCAAAGGACGGTTAAGTCAATGCTGGTAATTTAGACATTATAGCCTTGTCTGATCTTGTGCTCTGCATCCAGGATACTTAATGTAAAATTGAGAATGGAAATTGGGAATGTGTCAAAGAGACAACAACCCGACCAAAGAGCAGAAAACAGCCCAAGGCCACCATTGGGTCTTCAACACAGCGAGAAAATCCAGCACCCGAGGACAGGCTTCAGCTGACCACTAAACAAAAAATGTATACTAGTTCAGCGAAAATGGACGTCACACTCAACTCCGAAACATATAAATGAACCAAAATTAAAAAAACATGCAAGACTAACAGACAAGAGGTTCCTGACCTGGGACAGGCGAAAAAATGCGGCGGGTCCAAACATGTTTTGTGAGATCTCAACCCTCCCCATATACCTCTAGCCAATGTAGAATAAACTAACATGCAGCAATACACACAGTAAAACTCGTTTAAAAGAAGTCTGAGTCTCGATGTTAGAATAGGTAACAGAAGAAAATAAGCAACATGACAATGATCAAAATAAATTAACAAAGGACTACTAGCAGTTACTGACATGCCAGCTCCAGGCCTCAATTAACATGATTGAAAGATTATGTGCATGCATATATATCTTACTCTTACTGTCAACTTACAAAAAATGACTTACTAAAACTGAATTTTCAGTTGAAAGCTGGATTATAAATGAAAGGTCAGATTTAAGCTCTTAACATCCCTCATGTTTTTCTTTGTTTATTATAAAATGCAGTATGAAAATAACTTTATAGAGTTTATACAAATTCCAACATCTGGTAATTAATAGAATATTGATGTAAAACATTGCATTTGAAAATCAAAGGGGTGATCAATTCTACTGTCAGTGGAAAACATTAAAGGTGTTTCATCATTATTATATCAGTTAAAGAGCCCTACAGATATGACAGAGCTCATGCTACTATGTTAAACTGTACATATCTTGTCTGACTCTATAAATTAAGTTTACTTACTTACTTACTTACTTATGGAATGGTTCTTCTGCCTTGGAATGAATGTCCCCAAACAGTTTCAAAGTGTCTCAATTGTTCAGAGTTAAGTATTTCTGGTGTGAAAATTGTGTAAATTACAAAATATTTCATGCAGGGCTCACCACACCAGACAAAAAATGGACTATTTTAGAGAGCAAGTTTCTCTCCCAAGGATTTCTGATGCAGCATACTACATTGTATAGTTATGTTTATAACAACATACCTTATTTCAAGAATAAAAGGCAAGGTTCGAAATCTAAAATCTTTGTTACCCAAAGTATTGTAACTTACATATTATCATCCATCCCCACCCAGCCCTCCTATGTTCTGTAACACATTACCTTGACTTTATTTGACATGCTCCTCTTGATAACTTGTCCATTTCCAATCTCTGTAATAATATTACATTTGTGAGAGGATATCTGCATAATGATACAAACTGTGAGCTAAAACTGCTGAATATATCTTACATGTATTTCCCTTTTAAATACAACATTTATGACTGCACATGCTCTCTTTTACAACCTTTAAATAAGTTATGATGTGTAAAAGCGTTGGGAGTGTACACAATTTTTAGTATGAAGCGCTTCCAAGCTTCATACAAAATATGTTTTGGTCAAAACTTTAACACTCAAATAAACTCCAGTCTAGGTACCAGAGATGGGTGTAGGAGGGTGAAATCAATGCAATATTATTTCTACATCTACATCATACAACGATCCATCAGCACATTGATGACTATACGTCGGCGCATCGCAAACAGACACTTATTAAAAGATAACAATTTTATGAGTGCAATAATCAAAAATAATTTTGTGCAAAAATTAAAAATAAACACATTTACATATATTTACAAACAGGGTAGATACCTAAATATACTGACTTTGGATCAGTATTTAAACTAATCCAAAGAGTTAACGTTGATGATGTTTTGTGGAAGTGAATTCCAGAGTACAACTGTGAATGGGAAAAAGCTGTACTTAAATAATCTGTTCTGGTGCTGAATGTTTGATATTGTAGTGAATTGGTGAATCTTGTGTTTTTGACTGGCTATGGTGAAAGGTAAAGGTTTGGATCTGCTGCTATAAGTTAGTGTGTGATTGCGAGTTTCTAGTGACTTCCATTTAAGATGGTCAATCATGGCACTACTGGTGTTATGGAACCTGTTGGTGATGTAACTTGCTGCCCTTCTTTGTACTTTTTCAATATTATTTTTTTGTTTTTGGGTGTTAGACCAAACTGAAGAGCAATATTCTAGGTTTGATCGTACCATCGATTTGTAAGCCAAACTTTTTGTTTCTTCCTGATTTATTTTTAAGTTTCTTCTAATATCTTATTTGCTTTAGCCATGTTAGCAGTGATGTTGTTAATATGGGTATCCTCTCGGTCTTAATGATAATATCATGGGAATTGGTAATATATCAAGAACCGATTCTGTTAACATTTTAGATATAGTTTCTAAAACTGTTCGTGAAAACCGTTCTAATGGGCGTAGAAAAAATCGCAATCAAAGAAAATTTCGGACCAACCATACAAATATTTCAGACCTAATTTCTATTTCAAAAAACAACGGCAGACATTATCTATTAACCAAGCTCTGTTCTTTACCTATAAATAAATTAAATAAAATTTTAGAGGATTGCAACACAATTTCATATTGCAGTCCTAAGTATGAAATCGTTCAAATTATAATGGCATATTGTTATTCTAAACTGTTTCCCAAAATTGATCGCCCTGAAGATCATAAAAAACATTTGATTAAAATAAAGTATGTCAATAAAGGTTTTGATTTTGTAAATATTGCAGGTATTTTTAACGACCATTCTGTTAAAGAACAAATTCCTGGATATTTTGATAATACTGAACTCCCTCTTATTTGTTATATTTACAAGAAATCTACCCGGAAATTTGTGTTTAATTACAGCCAAGTCTGTAAAGATGTAAATATCAGTGAAAATACACCTACGTCATGTAATTGTAGTAATTCCGAATACACTTATGGCCCCATTTCCAATGTTATAACAGGAGACCTTAACATTGTTCACGACCAAGAGTTAAAATCATTCCTCAGTAAAGGATCTAAATATCCCCCCCCCCCCCCCCCGTCAATTATTAATTGGAATGAGTGTCGTAATATCATCCACGACTCACTTCGTGCTTACTGTTTGAAATGGATAAAACGGGAAAAAGCTGACAAAAAATCTATGGACTCTTTTTTTAATTCAGTAATGACATGAATGAAGATAGTTGATATACGTATACAACATTTTAAAGAACATTTTACTCTTAACAACAACCATAAAAATCCTATTTCTCGTATCAAACATAAACTAAAAGAACTAGCCAAGGAATTTGTTTTTGTCCCGGCTGATAAAGCTGCTAATAATATCATTATAGTTTGACGTAAATTTTACATTGAGGTTCTGCAAAAGGAAATCACTAATTCACCAACATTCCAACTGACTTCATTTTCAGAAAACGATATCTGTAACAAACATAAAGTATTACATGTAGCTACTTCTTTACAAGCAGAACCAAATACAATGAAAGTCCCAACTATGTACTGGCTTCCGAAGCTACACAAATCACCCTACAAATATAGATTTATTTCGTCTTCAAGTCATTGTTCCACTACTAAATTGTCTATTCTACTTACAAGTACACTTGGTACAATCAAAAACCTGATAATAAATTGTTCAAATAAGGCCTTTGAAAATAGTGGAATTAATTACTTTTGGAGTTTCAAAAACTCGTTGGAAGTACTTGATAAATTGCATGCATATATTGGTGATTTTGATTTTTCTACCCTATATACCACTTTGCCTCATATTCTTATTAAGAAAAAATTCACACACCTAATTAAATGGGCATTTAAAAAGTCAGAATGCGAATACATATGTTCATACTCTTTTACTCAGTTTTAGGTCATTTTTTAGTAGCAACAAACAAAAGAACTATGTCAATTGGACATGCTTTGAAACTATATCTGCCCTTGAATTTTTACTTGATAACATTTTTGTTCGCTTTGGAGATTCCGTATATCGTCAAGTTATCGGAATTCCAATGGGGACTAACTGTGCACCACTTATTGCGGACCTGTTTTTGTATTGTTATGAGTTACAATTTATGACTAAAATCAGCAAAGACCCATCGAAACAACATCTGATACAAAAATTTAACAATACTTTTAGATATTTGGATGATATGTTGGCTCTCAATAATGACGACTTCAGTATGTATACTAAAGAAATTTATCCTGTTGAACTTACTTTAAATAAAGCTAATACTAACAATGACCACTGTCCTTTCCTCGATCTTGATATCTATATCATTAACGGGAAGCTTAATACAAAAATTTATGATAAAAGAGATAATTTTTCATTTCCTATCGTTAATTATCCATTTTTAGATGGTGACGTTCCCTTGCCACCATCTTATGGTGTTTATATATCTCAACTTGTACGATTCGCTCGTGTATGTAACAACGTATTAGATTTTAGCGAGAGAAATTTATGTATTACTGAAAAATTATTACACCAGGGTTTTTCGATATCATAAACTAGTCAAAACATTTACTAAATTTTATCATCGGTATAAGGACATCATTCCTAAATATAACATGCAGACATCTTATACGTTCGGGTATCTCACATCCATTCTTTTATGGTAATATTCTTTACAAAGCACAAAAATGTCAGTATTCACCTCAAAAGCTAACAAAACCTTTAAACAGACTTATTAAGAAGGGATATAGTTACGATACTGTTGTCAGGTCATTAAAGATTGCATATTTTGGCTTTATTATTGATTCACTTATAGGGTCTTTGCATCAGAATTAAACACATTTATTCTAAAACCAGTTGTTGGCATGACACGGGTTATGTTCTTCTCATATATTTTATGACGGTATAATACTAAACCCCTAACAGGAGGGATTGTGCCTGATATTCATATGATGAAGACATAATCTTTCAATCAGTTTAATTGAGGTCTTGAGCTGGCATGTCAGTAACTGCTAGTAGTCTGTTGTTATTTATATATTATTGTCATTTTGTTTATTTTCTTTTGTTTCCTATTCTGACATCGGACTCGGACTTCTCTTAAACTGAGTTTTACTGTGCGTACTGTTGTGTGTCTGTTTTTTCTACATTGGCTAGAGGTATATGGGGAGGGTTGAGATCTCAAAAAACAAGTTTAACCCCGCCACATTTTTGCGCCTGTCCCAAGTCAGGAGCCTCTGGCCTTTGTTAGTCTTGTATCATTTTTAATTTTAGTTTCATGTGTATAATTTGGAGTTTAGTATGATGTCCATTATCACTGAACTAGTATACATATTTGTTTAGGGGCCAGCTGAAGGACGCCTCCGGGTGCGGGAGTTTCTCGCTGCATTGAAGACCCATTGGTGGCCTTCGGCTGTTGTCTGCTCTATGGTCGGGTTGTTGTCTCTTTGAAACATTCCCCATTTCCATTCTCAATTTTATCCCATGACATTTTGTTGGATAAGGTGATACCAAGATATTTTGCTGTGCTTACGGATTCTAAAATGTGGCCTTTAAGTACATAGTTATGATTGTATGGTGACTGTGATCTTGTTACAGTGAGGGAGTTGCATTTTTCTCGGTGGAATTTCATACCCTAAGTTTGTTCCCATTTGGCTAGGCAGTCTAAGTCATTTTGTAGGATGGTACAATCTTGCTGATTTTTAATTGTTCTGTATAAAATACAGTCATCTGCGAGTTTCTTTGTTTAAGAAATCTTTTATGCCATGCTTTATGCTCATTTTAGCATGGGTAAGCATTATATTTGTCAATATCTGTATACCGAGAGTTAGCGAGGTGTTAAATATTGACAAAGATAATGCCTTCCCATGTTAAAATTAGCATAAAGCATGGCAGGATAGAATTATTTCGATGCTGATAAGAATATTTAGAGCTTTTGTACTTCGCAGCGGACCTATATAGTACACATTCAAAAGGCAGCAATTTTGATTTGATGAACCAAAAATGTTATAGAAAATCAACAGTTGAACGATAAAAAAATTAACATATATATACGTAAACTTAATTTTAGAATGATTTTATTTAATTTCCTAGCGAGCAACACCAACAAAACTGTCCATTTCGACCTCTGGCATTGTTCAAAATACAACTGACGTTGCAATATCAATTGTGACGTCAATCACGTGCAGCCCATGTTTTATTGTAATTAGAACATGGCTTTGTTTCCAAAGCGAAAGAAGGACGTCATATTAGAATTCCCTGTACTGTTTACTAATTTTATTGTGTGAGTCTGTTTTCATTTTTTTGAACAATTTATTCCTTTTTCTAATAAGTGATTTTATCTCTTTATTAACCCATGGTAGTTTCTGTTTTGTGTTATTTATCATTTTAGTTGGAATTGACTCTTCCATGGTTTTCAATACCATTGTTTTGAAATTTAAACCCAAAGTTGATCGATTGTAAGTTCTTCTATATTTGCAATATTGTCAAGATTTATATTATTTATCTTTTCTTTAATTTGCTCAGTATTTACTTTGTTGTATAGAAATACTTTTCTAGGTGTTTTTTCGCTTTTATACATTTGTAGGTTTTAAGTTGGATTCGATGTATATAATTTCGTGATCTGATATTCCAGGAACAACTTCAGTTTTATTTACTATAGAGCTGTTATTAGTAAAAAAGAGATCAAGTATAGACTCTGATGTTTCTGTATAGTGTGTTGGTGTTGTTACAACTTGTTCTAGATAGTTGTCTTGGCACATGTCTATTAATTGCTGACATTGTTTTGAATTGTATGCCTTTTGTTTTATGGAGTAATTATTCCAATCGATTCCACCTAAATTAAAATCACCACCTACCAAAGGTGACAATTTTCACTATGCCTTATTCTGGAAATAGATTTTCCTAAGTGTGTTAAATAGTCCTCATCAGTTTTATTTGGAGGTTTATAAAAACTACCTATGTATAAATCAGGTGACCCTATAATTTGCACCTTGACCCACAGGTGTTCACTTAAGTATCATCAGATTTTAAATCAGGTGGTTCTGAGCTGAGATATTTGTCAGATAGAAGTATAAATACCCTGCCATGAGCGTCTGTTTTACAAGTAACTACTCCATTGCATGATCCACATGGATATTTTGATGGTTTAGAATATACCTTCTTGACTGATTTAGTGTTTAACTTGTTAACAGTTATCATGGTTATATTTGTGTCAGACGAGACTTTAGGACTTTCATCGTTTGTAGGTCTGTCTGTGTGTTTTACATGTAACTGATTGTCAGTGCAAATTTGGTAACTTAATGGTTCATACGTGTTTGTGCATTCAAATGGTGTTGAGTTAAGGATGCATGATGAGAAATTAGGCATTCCGCAAAGATTACATTCCCATTTAATATTTTGTAGACCCTGATAGATATGAGTGTCCATGCCTAAGCAGTTTTTGTGGTACCAGTAATATTTGTCCCAAGAATCGCAGCACACACCTGCAGTTTTCCAGGTGACTGCCTTACTGCAAGTTCCACAAGGGTATTTTAGTGCTCTAGGACCAGGGTTTGGTTCTGGGGCATATGAATTTGCTAACAAGATTGCAAAAAGGTAAAGCAATGCTTCCTTCTCAGGTTTAAGTCTTTTTTTTTAAAACTTATTTTTATTCAGACACACAATGACTTTTCTAATTGGATGTTTTTTACAGTGCTATTTTATGTTGAGATAGTAGACAATTGACAGGAAAGATGGAAGGTAAAATTAAGGCAGTTAGTGTTATAAGTGTCTTGTGTATTGGTATAGAAAGTTGACATCTTCATGTACCAAATGTTAGTTTAACAATTAGTCCAAATAATTATGACATCTTGAAAGGCTATTATATTTTTTTCTTTGACGCCTTACATCGCAGGAAGGCGTCAAAGCAAAAATTTAAAATAGCCTTCCAAGATGTCATAATTATTTGGACTAGTTTAACAATATATTATCAGGGAAAGTTTATTATTTTCCATTAACTATTATTGAAATGAAACAAAACACTGACCTTGTAAGAAATGATTTTCTAATATTAAGAATACATTTACTACTATTAAAAAATACTGTATTTTTTAATATTAGAAAATTTCCAAGCCAAAGACAAAGTGGACAAAAAGAGCTGTCTTTGGTAGCAGCTGAAAAAAAATCAGGTAACTTATTTGGGTGTTTTACACAAGTGCAAATAGTACTTTAATATCAGTATGTTATTTAATCCTTCAGAAACACTTTCCTCAAAAATAGCTGTCAATAGATTTTCGGTGCTCTGGTCAAACTTTTGTCGAACTGGTTTACTTCTGAATGTTACCTGTCGCCTACTTACAATTACCGGTATTTCATACGAAAAGAACCAGTTCAAGCACCTTGCGTGTGCGTGCTAACACGATTCTAAACATTTTGTTTGAAATTAAAAAAACATAATTTATTTTTACCATGTTTCATATGTAGATTCAACATCCTGCAAAACGTAAATAGTCTATAACTTGATGAAATTCCTGCCATTTTGTTAGAAACTGCCACGCGACTCAGACGTGTTCGATCTTCTTTCTTGTTTACACACGTGACTTGGTTCCTAACAATAACGGTATGTTCAATCAATCCGGATTGTCATGATTGACGGAAACATGTAATTAAACTGGGACTGTTATAATTGTACTAATATAATATAATAGTCCCAAAATTAAAGTAGGAATTTCTAATCATAATAAAATTAAATTTATATAAAACTAATATTGAAAACATGCGTGAACAAAATGCACGAGGATAAAAGCTTATGTGAAGGGTTACTGCCAGTCACCCAACGTCAAAACCGTTGCACTACGAAAAGTGTATACGCAAGTTAATGTAGTCCCAACAAAAATGATAGATCTAAATATCTAAAAGGAAAACTATTTGAGCATATATGTGCGGTAAAATAAAAAAGTGCTATGTTTTTTTTATTATCCTCTTTGTAATACTTTGAAAATTACTGTTTATTGGAAATATTTAAATACCATTTACAGTCGTAGCAGACAAAATGAAAAGTGACTGTAGGTCACATTTACATAGCACCAATTGCAACTTTTAAAATGTTGTAGATCTGTTCACGTAGGGTATCATGAATTTGCAATTATTTATATGAGGGACACGGAGGAAATTGAAAAACAAGCCATGAAGCATGGTTTTCAAAAGTATCTTATGATTAAGACATGTCTTACAATGGTTTAAGGACATGTCATAAGATATGTATCTGAAGGCGTCTCAAGTCATGATATTCATAACTTTGATCGTACACTTAAGACACCTCGGGACATTACTTATGATGGTCTTATGATTGTCATAAATGTTACGACATCACACATTTTCTTATTTGCTCATGCAACATGCAGAATGAGATCTAGGATTGTGAAAAAAGGGGGCCCAAACTAGGCATCGTTTGGAGTGATATATGCTAAAAGTCTATACATAAACTATATGTGTAGCTTCATAGGGGGCGAGGCCCTGACCTCTCTTTTAACATCCGTTTCTGCATGCAGCCTCTCTTGCTCTCTTTTTGGCACTGTTTATTCTGTCGCTTAATCTACTAAATAGTAAAAATTTATTTCTTCTTCACTTCGTCATTTAAAATTTGAATGTCCTGCGACGTACAATTTGGAATCCTTTTCTTTGTAATGATTATTTTTAATAAATATTTATGATATTTTTCTTTGTATAGTAGTTCATTGACGTATTTGCACAGGCATTCTATGTATACCAAATATTAAAAGCATTCCTAATTAGATAACACTTCATTATAATAATACATGAACACGAAGTTCTAACCATTAAATTTAAACAAATTATCAACTCAGATTTTAACTCCTATTCATATATAATTTTTATGTTCATCGCGTTCATTATACTGGAAAAAATATGAAATATTCGTATAAGATAAGAATAGTATTAGTTATAATTTTCATAGTAACATATTTTCACTTTTGACTATCATTAAAGCATCATAGGTATGACTATCTTTTGACAGCTATGATTTACATTCTATGACATATCATATGATAGTCATAAGATGGTCATAAAATTAACTCAAGACAAATCGAAATCAAGCTCGTGGACTGTTAAAAAAAATAAACAAAATCAAATGTGTGTACTTATTTATTTCGGGAAAATAGGTATTTGTTTACTGTACAGCAACCGAATTTGGAATCCAGAAAAAATCTACAGGGGCATATTTTTAAGTTAACTAAATCAACAGGTGAACTGAGTTCAAAGGTTTTTTTAGTTTCCTTTTCCTTCCTTGAAAGTTGCAGTGTTTTCCCCCTTTTTTTAGGGTAATCCATGATGTCAAAGAGTGGCGTCGTGTAAAAGGACTTTTAAATTGAATTCGATGTAACTTCTGATCGTTTTACTCCACATTACAGATCTTTTTCTAACCCGTAGTAGTTTCAATGAAAAGGGGGACACGTGTGTTTTCAGGTGTGAAAGTCATTGGTGGCGTCATTATTCTTTCACATGTTTCAGGTAGATAATTATTCATGACAAGAAGTTTCTTTCGTTGCAATTTTGAAAACATCCCATGGAGCAAATTACACAGATGCTACTCAGACTTTGTTAAAAGTCACCAGTGTGTGAGCAGAAAGTTGATGAACGCACTGGGGGTATGTCAAAGAACGTCTCGTCCTTTTTCTAAAAATGTTCATCGGAAGATACCAAGACATTGTTAATAAATATTCCGTATCAACTTCACAAATAATACACGATGGTTTTGAAATATAGATTCTAGGTACTGGCGTTGTTTATCATCTTATTAATAATAACGTGTAATAGTATTCTTTTATTTATCTTTGTAAATTAGTACTTTTACATTTTAATCTATTTTTGGTAATAATCATTTGACGTGACTCGGTACTTATACATCCCGTCATTGTGTTAGTGTGCTATGGTAACTTTTTGTATTCTTGTCTTCCGTTTTTGCTTATGTGCTTTGTCAATATGCCTTTTTGTTTTTCTTTGTTGACATATAAATTATGTTTGAAATTTGATTAAGGTTATAACACAATGTTGACTGCTGTACTCCTATTTGTGACATTTGTAACTATTTTGTCAGTTTGTTTTGTTCATACATCGTTTTCAATATAATACAATTTTATGCGACTGTCATACACGTGAGAGGTTTAGCTAGCTATAGAACCAGGTTTAATCCACCGTTTTCTATTTAAGAAATGCCTGTATCAAGTCTGACAGGAATATGATAGTTGTTTTTTGTTCGTTTGATGTGTTCGAACTTTTGATTTTGACATCTGCTTAGGGCCTTCCGTTTAGAATTTTCCCCGGACTTTTGCTATTTTACTTTTTCGTACATGGCAGGGGTCTTAGCGACACGCACATGCAAGTCATACATTAATTTGTTGAATATCTAACTACTAATGGGTGTCATTGGAGGTCCACGAAGGTTTTGATTGAACTGATGATGATGATGATGATGATGATGGAAGTTTTAAACGACATTGACTGGCTATACAGCTCTCCCACGGTCGGAAGATTGAACTGTTCGTGTCATGACTAGTATGGTTAGGTGGCAGATCTTTTATATTTTTAATTAATAATTATAATTAGGTTTTGTTTTTCTGCCAATCTAATTTTCTACAATTTTACATCAATATGTTTTTAACTACATTTGCATTTGTATAATTACATTATATCAAGGCTCTTGTATAGCCCGATTCAAACAACTGTTCTGTTCTGAGCTGTATAATGGTAAACATGTCGGGTTAACATGTACCACCGGAGTTACTTCCAGGCACATTGATGAATCAACCAGATAACAGCATCACATGCAGTACCAACATCTTCATAAATGTGGAACATGTTTACTTTTGTAACATCGGTCCAGGTATAATGCAGTTGACACTAAATACTATAAAACTTTCTTCATTGCATAAAATGCAGATGTCTTTCTGCTCGTCAAATGACAGTTTACTGATTATCGTTCTGTACCATTTCTGAAGGGCCTGTAGGTCACCTTACTAAGATATGTACCATAATTTTGAGGTGCATGTAGGTAGCCCTGTTATTGATCTGTAACATGATTATCTGCGGTGCCTGTAGGTCACCCTGTTATTGATCTGTAACATAATTATCTGCGGTGACTGTAGGTCACCCTGCTATTGATCTGTACCATTATAATCTGCGGTGCCTGTAGGTCACCCTGCTATTGATCTGTACCATTATAATCTGCGGTGCCTGTAGGTCACCCTGCTATTGATATGTACCATTATAATCTGCGGTGCCTGTAGGTCACCCTGCTATTGACCTGTCCCATAATCATCTGCGGTGCCTGTAGGACACTCTGCTATTGATCTGTATCATAATCATCTGCGGTGCCTTAGGTCACCCTGCTATTGATCAGTATTATAATTATCTGAGTTTTCTGTAGGTCACCCTGCTATTGATTTGTACTATAATTATATGAGGTGCATGTAGTTCACCCTGTTGTTGATCTGTACCATAATCATCTGCGGTGCCTGTAGGCCATCCTAATATTGATATGTACCATAATTATTCGAGGTGCGTTTAGGACACGCTGCTTACAGATATTGATCTGTACCATAGTTATCTGAGGTGCCTGTAGGACACCCTGCTATTGATCTGTACCATAATTATCTGCAGTACCTGGAGGTTTCCCTGTTATTGATATGAACTATAATCATCTGCGGTGCCTGTGAGTCACCTTGCTATTGATCTGTCCCATAATCATCTGAGGTGCCTGTAGGTCGCCCTGCTATTGATCTGTACCATTATAATCTGCGGTGCCTATAGGTCACCCTGCTATTGATCTGTACCATAATCATCTGCGGTGCCTGTAGTTCACCCTGCTATTGATCTGTACTATAATTATATGAGGTGCATGTAGTTCACCCTGTTGTTGATTTGTACCAAAAGCATCTGCGGTGCCTGTAGGTCACCCTGATATTGATATGTACCATATTATTTCAAATGTGCCCATAGGCGGCCCTTGTATTGATCTGTACCATATCATATGAAAAGTGCAAGAGGTCACATTGCTATTGATCTGTATCATACCCTTTCAAAAGCGCATGTAGGTCACCTTGTTTTTGTTCTGTACCATTTCCAAAGAAAAGTGCTTGTATGTAATCTTATTTTAGTCTCTCCCATATCATATCAAAGTTACTGAAGATTATATGTCTGTTCATTTTTACCATATCCTATTTAATTATCAAAATTGCATGTAGGTCACCCTGTAATTGATATGTACCATAATTATTCGAGGTGCGTGTAGGGCACGCTGCTATTGATCTGTACCATAGTTATCTTAGGTGCCTGTAGGTCACCCTGCTATTGATCTGTACCATAATCATCTGCGGTGCCTGTAGGTCACCCTGATATTGATCTGTACCATATTATTTCAAATGTGCCTATTGGTCAGCTTGCTATTGATCTGTACCATATCATATCAAAGGTGCAAGAGGTCACATTGCTATTGGTCTGTATCATACCCTTTCAAAAGCGCATGTAGGTCACCTTGTTTTTGATCAGTACCATTTCCAATGAAAAGTGCTTGTAGATAAT